AGACATGGAAAGCTAAGTGTCTTCTCTTTTGTTTTAAAAGGTGTTGGTGTTTGGTTTTAAAATGTGTTTGGTTTCAAAGGTGTTTTAGACTCCAAACTCTCGCCCCCCCTTGTCTTCTCTCTCTCTCTCCTCTCTTTTTGTCTCAAGAGTCTCCTCCAGCATCACAACTCAGAAGCATTGATTCTTTGACGGTCAGCCTTCTTTATGGTCCAGCTCTCACTTCCATACATCGCTACTGGAAATCCATAGCTTTGAGTATGCGGACCTTTGTCAGCAAGGTGATGACTCTGCTTTTTAAGATGCTGTCTAAGTTTGTCATTGCTTTCCTTCCAAGAAGCAGGAGACTTTTAATTTTGTGGCTGCTGTCACCACGTGCAGTGATAATGGAGCCCAAGAAAGTAAAATCTGTTACTGCCTCCATATCTTCCCCTGCTGTCTGACAGGAGGTGATGGGATCAGTGGCCATGATTTTAGGGGTTTTTTTATGTTGAGCTTCAGACCATTTTTTGCACTCTCCTCTTTCACTCACATTAAGAGGTTCTTTAATTCCTCCTCACTTTCTACCATCAGACTGGTATCATCTGCATAGCAGAGGTGGTTGATATATCTTCCAGCAATCTTAATTCTGTCTTGGGATTCCTCCAGTCCAGCTTTTCGTATGATGTATTCTCCATATAAGTTAAATATAGAATGAGAAGAACATCTTTCTTTGGTGTCAGTTCTAGAAGGTGTTTTAAGTCTTCATAGAATTGGTCAATTTCAGCCTCTTCAGCATCGGTGGTTGGTGCATAAACATGGATTGCTGTGATGCTGAAAGGTCTGCCTTGGATTCGTATTGGAATCATTCTATCATTTTTGAGATTATATCCTATTACAGCTTTTCTCACTCTTTTGTTGACTATGAGGGCTACTCCATTTCTTCTATGGGATTCTTGCCCACAATAGTAGATATGATAATCGTCTGAATTGAATTCACCCATTCCCGTCCATTTTAGTTCACTGACACACAGGATGTTTATATTTATTCTTGCCATCTCCTGTTTGACCACATCCAGCTTACCAACGTTCATAGATCTTACATTCCAGGTTCCTATGCAGCATTTTTCTTTGCAGCACTGGAATTT